TTTATACATTTGTGCATTTTTATGTATACTGCTTGCTGTTTTTGAGCACCTTCATATGCCCTGGACAAACCAGTGTTTTTCTTCCACGATATCTCACCTAATGGTGAATAATCACTTAGTAGGGGGTTCGTTACTTTTAACTATCTCCCTGGGATTATACCACTTAACAGTGGCATATAAATGTTTTTAATTTGTTGAAGATCGCTGTGTATAATTATATCTCAGCCATCATTTAATTTTCCTTGGCAGAAAAGTGTTGTTTCAAAATACCATTTATTGGTGTCTTTTGACAGGGACAATTATTGCACATTTTAACTGTCCTCTGTTTTTTAATGTTTTAAATATATTTTCAGCTTTATTTTAATATACATATATTTGAGGACCTGGAGCACCTTTTTGACGCCGTGGGTATAGTAGTTCATCCCCCTATTTGTCACCAATTTTGGTGCGGCATTGTTTAGGAAGTGACTTGCGGATATCCTATTTTGTTGTTAACCAGGATTTCTAGATCTATCACCTCCCCTGGGACTGAGAGCCACTGTGTTTGGCTCAGATGCACCGTTCTGTGTGCTCTGCCAGTGTTATGCAATGCATTCTAGCTGACAGTTCAATATATCCACGGCAAAATGGCGCTTAGCCGCGCGCGCATGCGCAGTTGCCCGGTCTCTCCGAAAATGGCGGCGAGTCAGTGCGCATGCGCGACTCCCGTTTTTCACTATTTGAGGATTCGGCGTCTGTCACAGAGCTGTCAGTCTCCCCTCTGATGATGTGCCTTAGCACGAAAGGCCTCAGGAGGAACTGACACCCTGTGACGCCTTATTGCCGCCCAGACCACGAGGAGGTCTGGCGGCCATCTCACCCAGGGTCAGTAATTTGTGTTTTATTATATTCATGTTTTGGGCACTTGCCAGCACCATTACTGTTTACCCTGCACCAAGTCTGTTATCAATAAAGTTCTTTTAAGAAATACTACACTATGGGTACTTTCCTACTCTTTGCCCCTTATTGAGGGGTCAGCAGACACAGCTCCCAACTGTATCCAGAAGAGGAAGCCTTTATCTGGAGTCTTTTATCTGGCCGACCCATTCCGATCCTTAGGAGGTTCTGTGAGCCCAGCTGACCATCGCTTGGTAAACACCCCTTCCTGAGGGAGATCGACATTCTGTGGAATTTTATACACATACGCGCATTTCCTGTGTGCGGTCGGTGAGTGCGCAATTCTGCCATTTGTTCCGGATTCTTCTTAGCTGTGTCCAATTTTATTACATTGATGATTTAATGAACATTTGATCACCAACTTTAGATCGAACTTTTCAGATCGAATTTTCTAGATCGAACTTTTTATGTGTCATTTTTAGCGCTGCACTTTATATATATAGGTCATGCAACATTGTACCCATATGAAAATTTTATAATTTTTTTCACACAAATAGAGCTGTCTTTTGGTGGTATTTGCTCGCCGCTGGGTGTTTTATTTTTTGCGCTATACACAAAAAAAAGAGCAAAAAATTTGAAAATTTGAAGAAAAAGTTTCTTTGTTTCTATTATAAAATTTTGCAAACAGGTAATTTTTCTCCTTCACCGATGTGTGTTGATGAGGCTGCACTGATAAGCAGCACTGATGGGCACTGATAGGCAGCACTGATGGGCACTGATAGGTGGCACAGAGAGGCGGCACTAATGATCTGGCACTGATAGGTGGCACTGATGGGCACTGATAGGCTGCACTGATGGGCACTGACTGACGGCACTGCTGGGCACTGATGGGCGGCACTGATGGATGGCACTGCTGGGCTGCACTGATGGCCACTGACTGACGGTACTGACTGACGGCACTGCTGGGCAATGATGGGCGGCACTGATGAATGGCACTGGTCGGCACTGATGGGCACAGGTGGGTGGTAGGCACTGCTGGGCACAGGTGGGTTTCACTGCTGGGCACTTGTGGGCATCATATGACACCCTCCCAGAACTGGCCGGTCGCAGTAAAGCCGTCATTCGGCTATCTGCGGTCGACAAGTGGTTAAATAACCAGAGGGAGTGATGGCCGCATGCCCATGAAAGTGGGCATTGATTGTTTGTCCACTTTTTACATGGGAATTCAGGCTGTGCTGATTCCCTTCCCAAATAACACTATGTAACTTAAATAAGTTAAGACACAGACACTTTTTCTTGGCATAAAATTGGCCACGGCACTTTTATTGGTATAAATTGAAAATTAAATAAATAAATAATAAATAACTCATATCATTTATTCAAATGTAATAATTAAACTTAAAAAATCAAGAATAGCTCAGTCATTAAGGACTCAAGCATCAATTAAATATCATAAAACAACAAGCCCCAAAAGCTGGGCTAAAAGACCGGCCTAACCCAAAAGCGTGGCCAATTCAAAGCAATTTTGTAAACCTAAATTAAATATATCCAGGCCAATGTCTGATAAATGAATCATATCAGATCTAAATGCCACTAAAACCTCCTTCAAGATCTACATGCCGTTAAGAACAACCATTAATTAGTGGCATGAATTTTTCCATTGCCCTATTTATCCTTTTCCTAACTTTTTCTAAAGGTCTAAATTGAGGACATACCAACCACAGCAGGCGTGGAATGACCAGGATGATGCCTGCAGCTGCAGGCATCATTCTGGTTTAATTTTTTTCAGCCAGCGATCCACTTTCATGTAAAAGCAATCCTAGTGGCTAATTAGCTGCAGGATTGCTTTTAGAAGCACTGGGAGAAGATGCCCCCCTCCCCCTCTGCCTTCCAGGGCCTTATTGGGCAGTCCCGTGCCATCGGGAGAACCTTAGAATGCAGCTGGTGTTTCTGTCAGATGACCATAGAGCTGATTGGAGACCAGAATTGTGCCAATCATCTCTATAGCCTAAGAAATCGGAAGCTATGAGCATTTCATCACTTCAGTTTCGCAGGATATAAAACAGCGCCATTTGTAAATTGGGAAAGCATCTGATCACACCGATCTTGGTTTGATTTGATAATGTAAGGGCAGAGGAGATATCTAGAGTCTGATAGACCCCAGATTTCTCAAAAAAGAATATATGACAATGCCCATTGAAGTTATAGGGGATATTTGCATTCCCTATGATAGCATTAAAAGTGATCAAAAAAAAAAAGAACCCTTGTGCGTTGACCCTGTACCAATATGTAAACTGCGGTTGCACCATGCATGTGAGGTATTGCCATGAACGTCAGATCAAGGGAAGTAATTCTACCACTAGACCTCCTCTGTAAATCTAAAATGGTAGCTTGTAAAGGCTTTTAAAGCATTGCCCATGGATATTAAAAATGTATGCAGTTTGTCGCCGGTGCATGGGGCATGCACAGTTTTAAAAGCATATCATGTTTTTGTATCTATTTACTCGACAAACCATCATCTTTTATATTTTAGCAAATAATTGCCCAATATATTCTGTTTTTGTGCATTAAAAGTAAACTCACCATGTCTCTTTTTAAATTCCTTGGGGTGTCTACTTTCCAGAAAGGGGTCATGTGGGGGGCTTTGGTGCTATCCTGGCATTTCAGAGCCTCCGAAACTGATACGTAGTGAGGAAGTAAAAAGAGGAAGTTACGCACCTTCAGGCTTTCAAAGTGGTCATTGGACTTCAGGCTCCCAAAACATCTCACTCATGTGGTATCCCCTTACTCTGTAGAAGTAGCAGAATGTATTTTGGGGTGTAATTCCACATATACCCATGGCTTGTGTGAGCAATATATAATTTAAATGACAACTTTGTGTAAAAAAAATATTTTTTTTTTTGTCACCTTCCAAAAACGGGTGGAAAAAAGTAAATGTTCCATGGACTCAATATGCCTCTCAACAGATAGGTTAGGGTGTCTACTTTCAGATAGCTTAGGGTGTCTAAAAGGGGTAATTTGGGGGTGTTTGTACTGTCCTGGTATTTTAGCACCTCAAGAAATGTGATAGGCAGTCAGAAAGTAAAAGCTGTGTAAATTCATTTATCTATATCATAGTTTGTAGATGCTATAACTTTCACACAAAGCAATCAATCTACACTTACTGGGATTTTTGTAGCAGAATACATTTAGGCCTAAATGTATGACGAAATTTGAGTTTTTTGGATTTTTTTTATGACAGAAATGAGAAATGTGATAGACCGTCAGAAAGTCAGAGCTACTTAGCCTCTTGAAGACCAGGCCTTTTCTGGCACTTTTTGTTTACATGTGACAATCAGTATTTTTTGCTAGAAAATGTTTTAGAACTCCCAAACATTAGATTTTTTTGAAGCAGAGATCCTAGACAATAAATTGGTGGATTTTGTAATTTTTTGTCACACGGTATGTGCGCAGTGGTTTTTCAAACACAATTTTTTGGAAAAAAAATACACGCTTTTGAATTTTAATGCCAAAAAAACCCATAATACATAACCCTTTTTTTTTTCTAAATATAAAAGATTTTTTACAAACAATGTATCCATATCCATATTACTATCCATAGGGGACACTTTAAAACCCTTTAAAACTGGCGGATTTTTGATAAATAGACATAGTAATGTGGAGTTACTCTTTAACTGCTAACCTACATGGCACTTATAACCCATTCTTGGCCAAGCCAATTTCCAGCTTTCAACGCTGTCACACTTTGAATGACAATTGCAACATTGTACCCATATGAAATTTTTTGCATTTTTTTATCATTTTTTTGTAACAAATAGAGCTTTATTTTGGTGGTATTTAAAAAAATTTTTATTTTTTCTTAAACCAAAAACCACTGAAAATTTTGAAAGAAAAAAAGTTTTTTTCTTAGTTTTTGTTATAAAATTTTGTAAATAAGTGATTTTTCTCCTTCACTGATATGCGCTAATGAGGCTGCAGTGATGGGCACTGATAGGCTGCACTGATGGACACTGATAGGTGGCACTGATGGGCATTGAAAGGCATCACTGATGGGCACTGAAAGGCAGCACTGATACATGGCACTGATATATGGCAGCACTGACTGGCAGCACTGATAGGCAGCACTGATAGGCAGCACTGACTGGCACTGATAGGCGGCACTGACTGCCACTGATAGGTGGCACTGGCTGGCACTGTTAGGCAGCACTGACTGGCACTGATAGGCGGCACTGACTGCCACTGATAGGCAGCACTGGCTGGCACTGTTAGGCAGCACTGACTGTCACTGATAGGCTGCACTGACTGGCACTGACAGATGGCACTGACTGGCACTGATGGATGACACTGAAAGGCAGCTCAGATGGGCACTGATATGTGGCATTGATGTGCACTTGTAGGCACTGATATGTGGCATTGATATGGCACTGATGGGCAGTGGCACGAGGCACTGATGAGCACTGACACAAGGCACTGATGGCCACTGACAGGTGGCGCTGCTGGGGCTACACTGATCATCAGGGCACACTGATCATCAGTGCCCTGATAATCAGTGTACATGTCCCCTCCACGGAAAGCCGATTACCGGCTCTCCTCTCCTATCGAACTGTCAGCGTGACAACTCGAGAGGAGAGAAATGCCGATAACCGGGATTTCCCGGTTTACATGTGATCAGCTGTGATTGGACACAGCTGATCACATGACCGAGCCGACATCTTCGGCTCTTTCCGTGATCGGTGATCCGCTGTGTCCGAGGGACACAGTGCACCACCGATCGCCGTGCTGCGCGCTCCGCTCCCTGAGCCGCGCATGTACGGTGAGAATGGGAGGACGCCATATGACGTCCTCCCAGAACGAGAGAACCACCTTGCGTCCTTCATATTACTATATGGCGGGCGGGAGGTGGTTAATATATGACTAGCCCTTTAAGAGTAATATGAATAGAAAATAGGAGGTTATATGTGTTTTTGTTGTATTTTAATTAATATAAGGTTTTAATAAAGCCCAAGATAGATTTTTTGATACATTGAATTGTAGGGTTAAATATTGATATTGCTTTAAATTGTTTTCTGATGGTTTTTTGATAAATAGACATAGTAACGTGGGGTCACCCTTTAATAGATGACTAGCCCTTTAAGAGAAATACAAATACGGAATAGAAGGTTATATGTGTATTTGTTGTATTTTAATATATTAATATAAGGTTTTAATAAAGTCCAAGGTAGATCTTTTGATATATTGAAATGTAAACTGTATGATTATATTGTTTGCAGTGTAATGATTCGGGGTATAAATGTATGGTGTTGGTGACGCACGGCCTACTGCTCCTGGACAACATCGAATGATGAAACGGGTAGGGCGGGACTTTGGATGTACGTACAGGTAAGCCTCAGGTGTTCGTGGAGCCTAGAGCTGATCCGTCTTGTATATACACGCTATTACTGTTAGTGTCGGCCATGACACTCTGTAAGTGTGGTTTATGCGCTCTTTATGGAATCAAATTTATTTTATGGTTTTTATGCTATGAAGCTTCCTCTTCTCTTCCTTTCATATGGGATATATATGCATGAAGATTTATCCATAGAGAGGAATAGGCTGTCGGCATCCCTGCAGATCATTGCTCCCAGAGCCACTGCTAATTAGCTGGTTTATAACGTTACCAGTATAGAGCTCTGGTGAGTTTATTTAATTTGGCTGGTGGTGGATATTTCACAGTGTAATGGTGTTTTAACAAGAAGCAAGAATATTTATGAAGATTGCATAATTGAATATGAGCTAATTTGCACATTTATTTATGGACGTTTTAAAAATTTTGAAAACAGATTGATAATATTGCATGGACACTTATGTAAGCACATATAATATTGATTATAGATATTAGCCACGTATGTGATGGTATTGAAGATTTTTGTTTTCACGGGTTATAACATATATTATATTATGGTATATGATTTATTTTTGGCACAGTTAGTTTGGAGTAAGGAATTACGGTTTGCTTTTTTATGTGATATTATTTGCATCCTGAGGAGCGCTTGTCTATACATATTTTTATATTGCTCCTTTACAGGTTACGCCTTTAGATTTACAGAGGCAATCTGGTGGTAGAATTACTGTCCATGATCTAACGTTTGCAGTGATACCTCCCATGTATTGGAAAATCGCTGTTTGTGTGTGCGGGACCGACGCGTGTGTGTGTAACTTTAACCACTTCCCGACCGCCCTGAAGCAGAAATACTGCTACAGGGTGGCACGGGTATGCAAAAACACATGTATATACCTGAGCCCCCATTCATGGCCACAGCTGTTAATCACCGAGTCCTGACCGGTGATTACTCGCTGTCGCCCGGTGATTACCGAGGATCTCTGATGGGGAGGAGAACTGTCTTGTTTACTAACAGTTCTCCTGCCTGTCAGCTCAGGCACACTGCTTTGGATAGGTGTGCACAGCACAGCCATCCAAAGCAGTGTTCTTACAGTGAAGCACACAGGCACCGCCCCATAGTAAAAAGCACCCAGCACACAGTTAACCCTTTGATCGCCCCTCATGTTAACCCCATTCCTGCCCAGTGCCATTAATATAGTGTCAGTGCTTTTTTTGAACACTTATCACTGTATTGGTGTCACTGGGAATTTCAGTGACACCAAGCCAGTTCTGCTCAGTGGCAGAATGTCCGCCACAGTCCTGCTATAAGTTGCTGATTGCCGCCATTACTAGTAAAAAAAAAAAAAATCACAGTATATACTGTATTTGTAAATGCTATAACTTTCATGTAAACCAATTAAAATACACATATGGGGATTTTTTTTTTTTTCTAGCAAAGACATGTACAGACTACACTTTGGCCTAAATTTATGATGAAATTTGTTTTTTTTTAAATTTTTTTACTAGACATGTGTTTAACCATTTGCAAACTGCACTATAGCCGAATGACGGCTACAGCGCAGTTTTCCAGTCCTGAGAGGGCATCATATGTCGTCCTCCCAGAACACACCCTCCCACGTGCCCCCAGGGGCATGCACGATCACTGGTAAATGCAGTTGCCAGTCATCAGCTGCACTTTCTTTACGCTGTCACAGCGTGAGGAAAGTACTGCCGATAACCAGCAATTGTCAGAGGACAGATCGGTACTGATCATCAGGGCACTGATGATTAGTGCCCTGATGATCAGTGCCCAGAAGTGCCATCCACCAGTGCCACCTACCTGTGCCCAGCCGTGCCAGACACAAGTGCCCAGCAGTGCCACCCACCTGTGCCCAGCAGTGCCACCCACCTGTTCCCATCAGTGTCTAGTAGTGCCACCCACCTGTGCCCAGCAGTGCCACCCACCTGTGCCCAACAGTGCTCTCCATCAGTGCTGCCCAGCAGTGCTGCCAGTCAGTGCCCAGCAGTGCCGCCAGTCAGTGCCACCCATCATTGCTGCCCATCAGCCACCTATCAGTGCCCATTATTGTTGCATATCAGTGCAGCAGCATCACAAGTGGCCACAAGTGCCCAGCAGTGCCACCCACCTGTGCCCAGCAGTGCCACCCACCTGTTCCCATCAGTGTCTAGTAGTGCCACCCACCTGTGCCCAGCAGTGCCACCCACCTGTGCCCAACAGTGCTCTCCATCAGTGCTGCCCAGCAGTGCTGCCAGTCAGTGCCCAGCAGTGCCGCCAGTCAGTGCCACCCATCATTGCTGCCCATCAGCCACCTATCAGTGCCCATTATTGTTGCATATCAGTGCAGCAGCTTCAGTGCCAGCTCATCAGTGCCACCAACCTGATAAAGGGCTGCAAAGTGCGCAATTGTGCATGTGTTCCCACAATGTACAAGTGAGAACAGAGCCTTTGGATACATGAACATATTTGGACTGCAGGCTTCCCATTTGCACTTGGGAGTAATACATAGATTTCTGTATCGGTTGCCATGAGTGAATCAGGTTTACCTATACAGAGAACTGACACTACTTGTTGAACCATAACTCAGAGAGACCCAGCCAGATTCGCTGCAATTATTGATGCATGCGATGGCTACTGCCCAGCCGCTGCAGCTCCAAGACACTTGATGCAGATTGCCATAGAGCCTGCTCTTTACACTGCAGAGGGGTTTTTCTAATTATACCGCCTCTCCAACTGCAATCCGCTACAAGCTGTTCACCATGCCTCCATCTTGTTTACTTACATCGAGGGGCCGCTGTGTCTTCTGGGTTCTTGTAGCCGCCCCCCTGATGGCAAGCACGTGCCACAGTGTAACATCAGGGATACAGCTGCAAGAACCAGGAAGAGACAGCCAGAGCACCGATGATGCACAGCAGCGCATGCGTTGTACAGGACCCCAATGCTTCCCGGAATGCTGCGGGAGAATCTTACCACAAAAAAAATTTTCATACAAAATGCAAAAAAAGTAGAATAAGAAATTAAAAAATATTCAATTGTGACAGTGGAGGGGGTAGGAGTGCAATTATACAAAGTGGGTGGGGAGGGTGAAGGTTCCCTTTAACCAGCTGCCGACCGCAGAAAGCTAAATGACGGCTACACTGCGCCCGGCCAGTTCTGGGTGGGCGTCATATGACGTCCTCCCAGAACGCGCTCTCCTGCGCGTCCCCGGGGGGCGCGCACCTTGCGATCTCTGTGATCGCTGTGTCCTACAGACACAGCTGATCACGTGATGTGGTAAAAGGTCAATCACAGCGGCCTTTTACCACGTGATCAGCCGTGTCCAATGACAGGCTGATCACCGGTAAATGCAATTGCCGGTTCTCGGCTGCACTTTCCTCACGCTGTCAGATCGTGAGGAAAGTACTGCCGAGAACCGGCAGTTGTCAGAGCAGGGATCGGCACCGATCATCAGGGTACTGATGATCAGTGCGCTGATGATCGGTGCCCAGCAGTGCCACCCACCAGTTCAGCCCACCTGTTCCCTGCAGTGCGCCCACCTGTGCCCAGCAGTGCACCCACCTGTGCCACCCAGAAGTGCCACACACCAGTGCCCACCAGCAGTGCACCCACCTGTGCCACCCAGCAGTGCCACACACACCTGTGCTCAGCAGTGCCACCTACCTGTGCCCAGCAGTGCCACCCACATGTGCCCACCAGTGCCACCCATATGTGCCCACCAGTGCCACCCACCAGTGCCCATCAGTGCAGCCCAGCAGTGCTGCCAGTCAGTGCCCAGCGGTTGTGCCAGTCAATGCTTAGCAGTGCCGCCAGTCAGTGCACAGCAGTGATGCCAGTCAGTGCCACCTATCAGTGCCACCTATCCGTGACACCTCATTAGTGCTGCCTATCAGTGCCGCCTATCCGTGCCACCTCATTAGTGCTGCCTATCAGTGCCCATCAGTGCTGCCTACCAGTTCCCATCAGTGCTGCCTTTCAGTGCCCATCAGTGCCGCCTATTAGTGCCCATCAGTGCTGCCTCATCAACACACATTAGTGAAAGAGAAAAATTACCTGTTTGAAAAATTTTATAATAGAAACAAAGAAACTTTTCTTTTTTTTCAAAATGTTTGCAATTTTTTTGTTTATAGCGCAAAAAGTAAAGCGCTCAGTGGTGATTAAATACCACCAAAAGAAAGCTCTATTTGTGAGAAAAAAATGATAAAAAATTTCATATGGGTACAATGTTGCATGACTGCGCAATTGTCATTCAAAGTGCAACAGCGCTGAAAGCTGAAAATTGGCCTGGTAAAGAAGGGGGTATTAAGTGCCCGGTAGGCAAGTGGTTAAACAGAATGTAAAAAAAAAAAAAAAGTTACAAACTGTCCATAGAAAGCAAAGTTTATTATCATTATCACTTGTAAATGTACATTTCTATAGGAATGCTTGAGTGTACATAGCTAGATTCCCTCTGAGTTCCCCCATAGATCAGAGTCCCCCTCCCCATAGATCAGCACAGCTCCTATCACGGCACCCATTATACCTGACAAGTCCCTGTAGCCAACCAGGCAGGGGGCGGAAATTGGAGGAAGAGACGCGCACCGCAGGGGGTGGAGCAAATGGGGCTTCATCAATTGCTAAAGAAACCCTAGCAACCATTCACTGCTGCTTAGCGGGAATCCGTGCTGCTGCTGATTGGTGGGCTGATAGGCTAGGTTTGCCCTTTATTGAAGAATCTTCAGGAAATGTATTGGTCAACAGAGCGTGAGTGACAGGTGGAGCCAAGGACAACTTACGAGTTTTAATCAGGGTCAATTGCAAAAGTGTCCCTCACATTGGTGGTCAGTAGGAAGAATGCACCCCTTACCTAATGTCATGCTGTAGTCTGGTGTCACACATGGAACTAACTAGGCACCATCAAAGAGGAGGTCAATTAAAGGAGAATTTTGGGGTTCTCAAAAAACAAACATGCATACTCCCCGAAACACTGCAGCATCAGTCTGAGATGTATGGGGTTACTAAAAAAAACCCACCTCTATGCTGCAGAATTGCAGGTGCCCCATTCAGAGCACCCCCCCATAGATCAGAGTACCCCCCAAGATCAGTTGCCCTCATCAGAGTACCCCCACAGATCAGATGCCCCAATCAGGGAACCCCCATAGAGTGCCTCTATAGATCAGAGTACCCCCACAGATCAGATACCCCAATCAGAGTATCCCCATAGATTAGAGTGCCCACATGCATCAGAGTACCCCCACAGATCATTTGCGTCATCAGAATACCCCCCATAGATCAGAGTTCCCTCATAGATCAGAGTAGCCCCATAGATCAGTAGAGCCCATCACAGTGCCCAGTGTCTGACCAATATGTCCCTGAAGAAGGGCAGACAGGAGACGGGAACTGGGAGGAGGTGTGCTACAGGGGACAAGGCATACACATGACACCATTGGTTGCTAAGAAGTTGCTAAGTACGCTGTCGTTCCTAGCAATCATTGACTGCTGCTCAGTGGGGATCCAGCGCTGCAGACTGGCGGGCTGACGGTCCAGGTCTGCCATTTCCTGAAGAGCTTTCAGTAAGTTTGAGCCTGAGTGAAAGGTGGAGCCAATGATGAGAGGTGGAGCCAAGGATGGGAGGTGGAGCCAATGAGGGTTGGCCGGGGTGTGTCTCTCTCCGCTCTACCCAGGCCCCGGGTGTTGGCCCAACATTAATTCCACAATGAAAACATTTTGGCTTACAAGCTGCAAAATGCAGAGGAAAGTGGACAGCGCTCAGAGCCCTTTAAAAAATGACTTCCCAACAGGAAGCTTGTACACTGAAACCCCAAGCTTCTTCTGGAGCCCAGCATGACACAGTATTACCATAAAATGTCGTTTGAGTCCCTGCCAGTGATGTGGAGGGAAACAAAGCCCCCAAAATTAAAATTACAAAAAATTAATTTTGAAATGCATTTTTAAAAAAGGCCCCCAAATAATTCCATTAGAAGGAAATAACAAAGGGAAAACCATACCCTGTGATCCCGCGCGAGGGGGAGAGGTGGGATGATACAAGATTAGGGGGGGGAGTCTCATTTAAAAGCAAAAATTACAAAAAAATAAAAAATGCAAAAAGCAAATAACCATAGAAAAGGGAAATACCAAAAAGCCACC